TTCACGAGCTTTCTCAGGCTCTTGATGTTTGCAACCCTGTGTTCAAAAAGGTTTTTCAAGCTCTTGAGTTGTCTTCATAGCTACCTTATGTAGCTCTCCAACGAGCTTGTTCAAGCTGATGAGTCATGTTAGCTTCCCCAAACAGATCTTCATGTTAGCTACGTTACACAGATCTTCCATGGCCATGGGGGGCCATGTTAGCTAGCTCAGTATGTTAGCTCCTCTATGCAGCTTTTTAAAGCTGTCGCGCGGCCACGTTAGCTACTTTGTCAGGTGCAAGCTACCCCATGCAAATCTTAAGCGAATTGTTTCCAAACCAATGAGTCGTCATGTCAGCTACCTTGTGCAAGCGTTCAGCGAGATTTTTCATGCTCATGACTCATGCTAACTGCCTGTGCAAGTGCTAGGCGAGCCTTTTCAAGCTCATGGCTTGTGCTAGCTAGCTTGTGAAAGTGATAAGCGTGATGCGTGATATTTCAAACCCATGGCTCATGCTAGTTACCTTGTGCAAGTGCTAAGCGAGCTTTTTCAAGCGGGCTTATGCTAGCTAGCTTGTGCAAGTGTTGAGCCTGCTTTTGCAAGCTTATGACTTATGCTTGCTATCTTGTGCAAGTGGTAGGCTAGCTTTTTCAAGCTCGTGACTTATGCTAGCTAGCTTGCGCAAGAATTAGGCGAGCTTCGTCAAGCTCATGGCTTGTGCCAGCTACCTTGTGCAAGTGCTAAGCGAGCTTTTCCAAGCTCATGACTTACGCTAGCTGCGAGCTGCCTTGTGCAAGTGTTAAGCGAGCTTTTCCAAGCTCTTGAGTCGTCATGTTAGCCATCTTATGCAGATCTTAAAGGAGCTTGCGCAAGCTCACGAAGTGTCTTGTTAGCTGGTGCTGGTGTTGCCATGCTTATCAATGCTGCCCACGAGAAACTCAGCAGACTCTCCGCTCTTATTGGTCGGTTGTATACTTGCATTGTGTTGTTTCTGTATTGCTTGTATACTTGCACTACTGAGTGGCCGCTGCTGTTCTGGCTGTTGAGGTGGCGGAGGGGGTGGTGTCTGCGGTGCTGGCAGGTGTAGTGGAGTGTCAGTGGTAGTGTCACGGTGACAGCCGTCATCGTCGATTTCGGTAGAGCACTATTTCATGGTGTTGTTCACGTGGCTACAAACTCCATGCTGATTCCAGGGATGTTGCATCTATAGTTTTGATGACCTCCGACTCCCACAGCAACGTCTCCAACGTTTAGACTCTCGCTTTGGGGAAAGTGAAACAGCTCTACGGGAATATCTTAAACTCAGCGGGAAGCTGAGAGGGTGCTTGCAGAACCATCTTTCTGAGAAACTGCAATGGCAAATACCGAAACTGCTTGCAGGTATTGGCACGCTGCCAGCGATTGCAGCATGCCCAACGACTATTCCGACATGATGCTACTACTACTACTACTACTACTACTACTACTACTACTACTACTACTACTAGTGCTGATGCGATTACTCTTACTCTTTCTATTCCTATTTCCATTACTATTACTATTGCAAGGCGTGGTGCCGGCCCTGGCAGACGCGTCTGCATGAAGACCCTGTTCACGACCGCAAGTGGCCCAACCCTAAACCCTAAACCGTGGGTTTAGGGTTTAGTGGCCCAGCCCAAATTACCAGCATAGTAAGACCAATAATGACCCATGCACTGTTTGAGCATGGAAACATGAGGACTCCTGAGCCATGAAAAGTTGCATAATATAGGGGCCTTAGTTTTTAGAATAGGGTTCTGGGGCCCAGCATGCTATACTTATAATAGTTTTGGTAAATACTTAAGCCCCCATATTATGTTTGATTAAACCCTAAACCCTAAACCCTAAACCCAATATTATGTTTGATTGTTTAGATGTCATCTCTGGGGGGTTGAGAGTCCAGCGGTCGAAGGTTTGAGGACCGGGCCATGCTGATGGACCCTATGCTTGGAGGTTCCAAGGGCAGTTATAAATGGGGTTATAAGTCCCCGAATTATTATGGGTATAAGTATAGTTTCCCCGAATTATTATGGGTATAAGTATAGTTACCCTACTTATAACCCTACTTCTAGCTAGTCATGAACCTGCAAGGGTGTGGTTATGCAATGTACAGCATTGATCCTCCCCTGGCAGCGCGCTTACGTGTTCATCTATGCTGCGGATGGCCACCGCAAAGGGTCTTTGCACAAGCAGCTGGTTGCTTCCTACTACAGTAGCGACGAGTGACGAAAGGACTACGTCTCGAACCACGGCGCTGTTGCTGTAGTGGTGAACTCCATTGATATGCTTGAGGCAGGAAGCAGCTTTCAATGATTTGCAGTGCAAACGGCCATTTAGGCTACGTAGGCTTTGTGCGAAATTGAGAAAGCTTCAACTATGAAAGATCTGGTTGTTTGGTTGGAGCACCCAAACTGGTCTGAGGTCCGCATCAGGTACACAGACTGGCGCAATATAGGAACCTTCATGATTCGAATAGGGGCCTGGTGTTATTTGTACTACAATACAGTGACTAGAAGGGTATACCATTGACAAAGTTTTCTGTCCCTCTACAAGTAGTACGATTCTCCTACGTGCACATCCTCAAATACTCCACGGTAAATGGGCGTGGACCATAACCAAAGAGGGACTGCGAAGCACAAACAGCATTGGTCGCTTTCTAATTTCAGAATCATGCTTATATGCTACGGTACTCGTTATGACCAATATTACCTTTCGTGCTACTAGCTGCTGCTACTACTGCTGCTGCTTCTGTCCCAGCTGCCTATGTTCATTCCACTATAATGATTCTACTGCTGTTGCTCTCGTCAGGGAACTGCTTTCGAGGATCCTACCCTAAACCCTAAACCCTAGGTCCTTAACCCCCAAAACTCTGAACCCTAAACCCTGAAAACCTAAACCCCCAAAACCCTAAGCCCTAAACATCAGAACCGTGAACCCTAAACGTCAGAACCGTCTGTCGACCCTTTGATCAGCCGGCCGGGAAAAAGTGTCTCAGCAGAAAAGCCATGGGTGCCTCAGAGGTCTCTGGCTCCGGGGTTTGGGGGTGTTTAGGGTTTAGGGGTTTAGGGTAGGGTTTAGGGTTTGGGGGTTTAGGATCTCGGTGTTCAGGTTTAGGGATTTAGGGTAGGGTTTATAGGGTTTGGGGGCTTAGGGTTCCGGGTATACTTCGAGGATAAGGGGCCCTAAGAACTAGAATCAGGTTCCTTCAAAGGGGTCTATAAGGGTTACTATATGGGACATATAAGGGTACGATGCCTTGAGAATTAGAATAGGGCTTCGGGGTATGTTACACCATACTTTAATAAGGAGCCCACAAAACCCTATTCTAATTATTCAGGTCCCTACATTATGTTGTTTTAGGGTTTAGGCAATGCTCAGGCTTTGCAGTGACAGTGTTTAGCTCTGGGCGGGAGCCGGATAAGTCGGTTTCGGACTTCTTTACGGTCTGAAAAGAAACTCACGGCTGCTCGGAGGGTTGCAGAGCAGCCCAAGTCTAATGATGTAGAAAAGGGTTTGGGGGATCGTCTATAGTATGACTATACGGCGTACTGTCCTAAGTACAATTTTCCCTGCCTCAATGCTATGTTTATGTTATGGCCGGGTCCATCTCTGCATCTTCAGCTCCCACTGTCAAGCCCTCAGCTCCGAAGCCGAAAAAAAGAAAGTCAAGGCGTCATCTGAGCCCTGCAGCCCTGAACCCCCCAAAACCCAAAAACACGAAAAAGGTTTGCAATCCTATCTCGAGCTTAGACAATAATCAAAAACTTCATTCCTAGGCCCGCAAGTCCACTTTCCCTGAGCCTAGAGACTCTGGATGCCCCTGTGTGCTAATCCTCAAGCACCATGCGCTCAAACCACAGCCGGGAACATCGGCCGCAAACTCATAACTAAAGTCCCTGAGCCCTTCTCGTCAACGGGCTGCTTGAATCCCATAGCCAAGCCCCTCCATCTGCATAGCCCGCACTCAATCTTACGCCAGAAACCCTCAAGCAACTCTATATAATAGTCTAACTCTAATCGCCAAATCCCGGTCTAAGTCTAAAGAAGCCCTACGCCTAAACCGTAAACCCCTGAACAGCTAAACCCCTAAACCTAAAAGATCATCGCCCCGTATTGCAGTCGCCCTCACCCCATGGCACCTCGGTTCGCGCATGTCCGGGCCACAAGAGAGGAATTGCCTGAAGCAAAACGAAACTGTTTCGGTTTAGATTTGGGGTGTGATAGTGCTCTAATCCCTGCGACCTTTAACATGCCTCTTTCTTCGAGGGGATATGACAATGTCGGTTATAAAATTGTCGGACTCCTTCGCAGACCAGTCACAGCAGATGATCTCCCAGCACTTCCCAAACCCTTAACAAGGCCACGTATACTAAAATGCTGTCATGGACTTTGCCCACTATCACTATGCACTGCCACTGCGACTACGACTGCGACTACGACTGCTATTGCTACTGCTGCTACTGCTGATGCTCCGGCCGCTGGTAGTACATCAACTGCAACAGCAACAACGGCTGCAACAGCAGCAGCAACAGTAACAACGACAACGCTGCTAAACTGACTGTTCCCCACACAATAACTAGGTGGGGCTTTTAAAGCCTTTGAAAAAACATTAGTAAGGAAGATCCTCTTAAGCCCAATAAGGGAAAATATCAAATGCCCCAAAGCCCTACCTAGATAATTTGTACCACATCTACGCTTATGCCTTTAATCAGGGTTCGGGGCTTGGCTTCAGGATCAGGCTGCCAGAAAGAAAAAAACTCACTCATGAACTCTAAACGCCCACCTTCCAAAGCGCAAGCCAGTGGCCCTCTGGCTGTCTAAAACTGACCGAGAATGCTTCGGAATAGATTATGCTTAAACCTGAAACCCCAGGGCCGAAACCCCAAACTCAAAGCCCGAATTGAAACCTACAGTACCCTAAAACTACCCTTAAAGGAACCCCTTATAGTAACGTAAAGTCGCCAAGCTGCTTACTGGGGCGGCAGCAGGACCTTTCAACGATGCTAGGACCTTGGCTAAGACAGGGTTTGCACTCTTTAGGCTTCAGGGCTTAGGGTTCAGGGCATGGCGTTCAGTGTTCCGGGTTTAGGGGGTTGTGTTGTAAACAAACTGGGGTGCAGTGCTTCAGCGATTGATTGCGTCAGAAACAAGCCTAAATCCTCCAGCCATATAAACCCCAAAACGAGCTGTTGCAGCAGTGCATACTACAGACCTAGAGCGATGATGCGCAGCTAATTTCGGGCTTGGTAGGTTGGTGAAATATCCAGTTTACATCTTGCAAAATCTGAATTCCAGCCCCCAGTGGCCCCTCCCGTGCCAGGAAGCCCAGCCCTGCAAAATTAGCCTGAGAGCAGAACTGGCAAGCACACTATCGACCCACCCAAGTGAGCCTAATTACTTCTAGGTTCCTGAGTAGCCCCCTTCATAAGGGTACCCTTTTTCCCACTATTCGGTTTTAATAAGGGGACCCTAAACTAAAAAGGGCAAAAGGGTACTGCTTAGGAATCTAGTACTTCGCTGGAAGCCAAGTCAACAAATACATTTACATTATCAACAAGACGTAAACGGCCAAAGTTCTACACCCCAATGGCAATTCTGAGCCCGAACGCCCAAAGTCCAAACGGCCTAAACTCTCGCACTCTGTGCCCATTACCCTCGCATCCCAAGTCCCCCCCTCAACTTCAAGCCAGAAGCCCCCAGCCACTCAAATGAACAAGAAACCTTGCAACAGTTTTCCTTGTGACAGCAGTCGCAAGCATGACAATTTGCAATAATCCTCCTCCTCGTCCTCCTCCTCCTCCTGCTCCTCCTCGTCCTACAACTACTACTACTACTACTACTACTACTACTACTACTACTACTACTACTACTACCACTACTACTACTACTACTACTACTACTACTACTACTACTACTACTACTACTACTACTACTACTACTACTAGTACTACTACTACTACTACTACTACTACTACTCCTACTCTTGGTGCTACTCCTACTGCTACGACGACGACCACCACGACCACCACGACCACGAAGTACTACCACTACTGTACGATCACTACGACCACCACCACCACCACTGCTGATATTAACCCCTAAACCCTATACCCTAAAACACTAAAACCCTGAACCCTAAAACCCTAAAACCCTAAACCCTAAAACCCTGAACCCTAAAAGCCTAAAGCCTTAACCCTAAACCTCTGAACCCCTAAACCCTAAACCCTAAAACCCTGAACCCCTAAACCCTAAAACCCTGAACCCCTAAACCCTAAACCCTAAAACCCTGAACCCTAAACCCTAAAACACTGAACCCACAAACCCTAAACCCTAAAACCCTGAACCCCTAAACCCTAAAACCCTGAATCCCTAAAATCATTTCCCTTTGGATCCCGGGCCACATCGCCCGGACCAGGCAGCGCTCGACTTTCTCTGGTGGGTCGTCGCCATCCCAGAACCTGGGCGCAACGACCGTGGCCCAGAAAGGAAACTCTAGGGCTCCATGTATCCTTATAGCGGTTTAGGGTTTAGGGGTTTAGGGGTTTAGGGTTTAGGGTTTAGGGTTTAGGGGTTTAGGGTTTAGGGTCTCAGGCCTTAAAGTGCCTATATAGGGACCCCTTTAAGGCTTAAGTATCTACTATGAGGGTACATGGAGCCTTTGGGTTTAGGCTGAGGGTTTAGTGTTTTAGAATGTGAGTGCAAGGCTGTGGTAGCGCACCCAAAATTTGGGGGTTGAGTTCGGGAATTTAGGAGGTTTGGGGTGAAATTACTTTCACACTATGACATGATGATGGTGGTATGACCGTGGCCAGTATCGGCGGAGAGAATGCTGCGTACTAGGAAACAAGCTACGCAATCAATACTTTAACGGCTTCATCATGTTCACGATCGTCGCCATGATGCTGACCGCAATAGCTTCCATTGCAGGAATCGCCGGTATCGCCAGCATCGGTGCCCTCGAAATCACGAGCCTGAGCAGTCGATCGGCGGAACCACGATGCTGACCACCGTCACGATCCTGCCCATGACCATAGTGATGATCATCGGCAGCATCTTCGAGATCGTCGTCAGCATCGCCAGTGCAGCTTCACCATACAAATAATGTAAATGTATGCACATCCTCCTGCTCCCCCTTTCCCCCCCCCCCCCCCCCCGCAGCATCTACAAGGCTTGCCACCTGCTCGCTATCAGCATCTTGTCACCATCATCAGGACATGGCCTTTATCGTCATTGAGATCACTTTAATTCTTCCATACGATGGCCTTCAAGGTCCCGATTGTCGCACCATCACTTTTATGATCACAACCGCCATCATTTCATTGCCTGTTGTATGATAATACATTCCCACCTCAGTATCATCACCGGAGAAGAAGATGATGATGACAAGGATGACAATGATTGCAGCATCAACAGCCGCTCTTGTAGTAGCAGTATCCGTACAGCAGCAGCAGGAGGAGTCGAGCTTCCACCGTCGGACCCCACAACTCCCAAATTTGCGTACGGAATCGGGGCACACGAGTCTATGATTCTTGGGTTGTGCTGGAACACCACTACCGTGGTGCTGAACGATCGAGCTCGACACTCCAAAGCCACTGAGGCTTTGGCTCCAACAGGACTTCATCTGCTTCCTCCGGTGTGTCCTGAGGGACCACGGGATGCTTCGGGTCCACGGGTCCTAAACACTAAACCCTACCAGGCTGTACGATAGAATGCAGAGCAGGGACGTAAGCCCTTTCTGAGCCTAGCGTAATACAGAGGCCTTAATGCTTGCGAGGTTCCTTACTACAAACATAGTATGATATGGGCCCCAAAACCCTGTTCTAAGTATTAAGGCCCCTGTAGTACGGGGCTTGCGGCTGCTTCTTCAGGCTCTACAAAGGCTTGACACGGGTTTTTGACACGGGTTTGTCCTCGAGCACTGTGGCACGGCGTGGCTGCACGTCACCGTTGACGAAGACCCAAACAGTCTGCGCAGCATCAGAGAGTCCAAGGCTTATACTTCTATAATCATAAGAGTCCTTGACCCGTGGGAGCCTTCACGCACTCAAGAACGATCATGAGACATCTCGTAAACTCACGACCAAGGATGACCGGGCACTATGGTCGTTTCCTGCGGGTGGTCGGGTTCGGAAACCTTCAACAGCTACCTCACGACTTGGACGCTTCACTGCTTCACCTGTTGCTTCTGGAGCTCGGGCTTGAGAATGCTTATCCTTTCACGACCTTTGAAAAAGTATCAGCTGCGAATCGAGTGCGTCGTTTGGCTTTGCTGCTAAAGCGCACAAGACCAAACTTCATCATCGGGAAGTCGGGAACGTCATACTGCATGCTGCATTATGATACTGGTCTAACCCTAAGGCTCCATATGCCCACGCAGTAAAGTAGCCAAAAAGGGATAAGGCCAAAGTATATACTGTATAAGTACGTGCCGCTTTAGGAAAAATGGGTAAGAAAACAACACGGCATAGATTGCATTGGGCTTCTACTGCGACTACCGCACCACGGCTGGTTGATTGATACGCCCACTATTATATATCATTGTTGCGGGCTTTACGAGTCAAGACACGTCCGCGTGAAATCTCGATCCGAAATTCAATATCTGAGAGTGGATAAACATCTCCGAAGTGGCGAGCCTCGGGTGCCAAATGTATGGGCCTAAGTGCTTAGAACAGGGTTTGGGTAATTATGCGTCATCGTATGATGCATAACGAGGACTATTCCCAGTTTTCCGACAACCATCACACCTGATAAACCATGCGCGGCAACCGTCCTACTCAGAATTCGAATTGGCGCATTACCAACATTGTATACTATGGGGGCCTCAATAATTAGAACAGGGTTTTACCGTGTAAAGCCCGTCGACGAAGAGCGAAACGAAGGACGACATATGCAGCAGGAATGCGTATATACACGTGTAAAGAAGATTTCTATCTATAACTTGCCGCAAGTTGATTGCAGAAGTCGAGGCATTGCATCAGAATAGGGTTTTGGGGTACGTTATACTATGTTTATAACAAGGGTCCTGCCGAACTAGTATTGGTAAATTTTCGCCCCTACAGCAGCCCCGGGGCCTGTCGCTCTTCGAACGGCTCGCGCTTGACTTCTTTGACCATGCCGAGCGACTGCAAAAGGAGGATGTTGTGGGGTTCGAAGGTGTCCACCCTAAACCCCTAAACCCCTAAACTCTAAACCTTAAACCCTAAACCCCAACCTTTAACCCAAACCCCAAACAGAAAGGCTGAGGGCTTGGGATTGAGGGTGTAATTAAGAGGCTACAGGCCATTGCACTTGAGGAAACAACACAATTCCCCCATACACAAGGTGCATCGACCTCTAAACTCTAAACTGTAGCGATCGCGAGCTGCATTCGACAGTGCTCGTGGTCGGGTTTTTCGAGTTCCCGGCTACCTGAGAGTACGGAGGGGTTGGAACTTGAAGCAAAAGCCTTGTTGGCGTAGGCTCCGTCGCTAAGAATTCCTTCCTTCTTTCTTTACAGCTCTTTGCACATCCACTTTCAAACATTTTCGCAAGACTGAAGCGACAGTATCGACCGTATCTCACTCGAGTACTATACCGTCCGAGCTGATGCACCTGAAAGCTAAGTAAGGCAACTGCTTCGGGACCTCTGGGCAGTTCAACCCAACGCTAAGTCATGCCGTCAAGAACCCGTCGGAAATCCCATACGGCCTCAGTACCTTGGCACGAAATTTTTGGATTCAGGGAACTTTTGGGCACACGTTTAAAGGTGCAGAAACCAAACACTCAACTCCTGACCCGCCTTCCAAACCGACATTGCAAACACGGTGCCTCCCCCCCGCCCCCCCCAATGCCTTGGCTAGGAGCGAGTACACGCTTGACGAGCCGCGCTCCTCGCCCAGCGTCGCAAGTTTGAGGGGTTGCGGTTTGCCAGTGCTTCAAACGTCACATCAGCAGATTTCGGGTTCACAGGGGTTCATGTCATCATCAGCCATTGTTCGGTAGCAAGATGTGAACTTTGATCACTCAATTGACGTCTCACAGGTCACGCAGCTGGATCGACACCTTAGACCGCTTGTTTTGGGGTCTATCTTACTTGCCCGGAGCTTACCTTCCAAACGATCACAAGGGTGGAGACTTCTACGACGCAACTCAACTCAAAGTGCCAATCATGTCCCGGGATTTAGGCATTGAGGTTTCGCGACCAGTGATGAAATAAGAAACTGCACGAAGTCCTCGATGGCAAGGCATACAGAGACTCTATAAGTCAATAAGGTACTATAGGGGCCTTGATAATTAGAATAGGGTTTCAGGGTATCCTATACCATAATTACAGAAAGATAACTCCCCAAAATGGTGTAGGTACAGCCAGCTGCGAAGGCACAAACCGTGGCCGTACACCTAACTTAGCCGCCGAAAAGATCCAGCCTCAGTACCCCAAAAGTGCTAATAGAGGAGCCTTAATAATTACCCCTTACAATTTCGTGGGTGGCCTGCCTGCGACAGCGTCAGCAGATCCTTACCCGCCTTGTTCTCCCACCTTCGCTCGATTCTGCCGGTTTAGGGTTTAGGGTTTAGGTTGGATCGTTCGGGAACAGAGATTCCAATCTCCCACAGACACACATCAGTGACTTCATCAGCGTTGTCTCCTATCTCCGCATGTCTTGAGCTGAAGTATTCGTGCACGTACAGGGTGTCGGCACCACTGCCTAGTCGCGTTCCACTGCAGACATGTCAAATTGTGGCTGATGTGGTGTTGAGGCGGCTACGTTTGCAAACATGGCTGTGGAGTTGGACATAGCAGCAGCATCTGCAGCGGCAGCGCGAGTGGCAGGAGCATTGGCAGTAACATTGCCACCTCGGGTATTCATGGCCGCACATTCGCGGTTCTCATCTGACAGCCGCAGGATCGTATACTAGCTCTTCTCAACGAAAGAACACATGGGTGCCCGAAGCCCTAAACCTCAAAAGGAACGGATCCAACGACTCCCAAAGGCAGGATCGAACCAAAGCTTTCCACAAAATATGACGTCTAATATAATGTAAATGGGTTTAATATATATATATATATATATGTATAATATATATATATATATATATATACATATGTAGTTCGAAGTATAAGTATATAACATACAGTACATCCAGTCGGAACCTGGACCAAACCGTTCGGCGGACGCTCACGAGGACCTGAAGCCATTCAAAAGGATCATGGGACTTAGTAACTAGGGTTCCTTAAAGAGTTCCTGCTTCCTTAAACAGTTCCTTCAAGGGCTCCTTAAAAGGAATCGAGAAAGGTTCTATAAGAGGGGTTTTAAGGTTACTTAAAGGATCATGGGACTTAAACTTAGTAACTAGGGTTGTTGGGGTAGCTATATACTTATAAAATTACGTATAACACCAAATGGAAGAACTTGTAACCATACTTACTAAGTCCCATGATCCTCCAAGTACTCCCACTCCACACTCCATCCCCTTAACCCTAAACCCTTACACCCTAGACCAGCCTCAAGGACCCTAGACGAGGAAACCCAAGATCCTGCCTTGAAGCTTGCTAGTGATGGGAGGCCAAATGGGGGTTTAAGATTCTTGGGGTTAGGGATTCCTCCATATGAACCCTGTTAAGGGAACCCTAATCCCTACTAAACCCCCATAGGCTAAAACCCCTTTTGGCCTCCTCTGAGCCAGGTTTAGGCTTCACTTAACAAGTAGATAAGTAGGTCGAGTAGAGCAGTTCTATTGCTGAAGCTTGAACTCAGCTCATGTAGGAACTCTGAAGGAGCGGTGAGTACGAAGGTCTGTCAGCTACTTCGTCGGGTTTTGCGGTCGTCGCTTCCGGGAACAAGCTTGGATTTGTTGGTTCGCAGCAGCTTAACTTTGCGCAGCTGTTCAGAGATTCCTAACAATTTGGCTTTAATGATACAGATTCCTAAATGATTGGTAAACCCTAAACCCTAAACTCTAAACCTTAGGTTTGATAGGATCCAGTTCTTGCACAACCATGGGGTTTTCTGTTCCGACTTTCTCGAGATGTCGCTCTGCGTTCGGAACACACTGCCAAGCTCCAAACACTCTGAAATAGAGCATATCATGAAGATGCTATCACTGCGAAGTCGAATCGTTTACTAGGGCCTTGGGTGGTCCTTGAAGGGAGACTCTCCGATGACTTCTTCGTGTGCCATACAGACATTGCAGCTCATTGAGGCCCTGTAAACTGTGGAAAGCCTCCTATATTCCGATGTGACCCGAGGCCCAGATGCGCCCAGGAAGAGATCCCCTTTCCTTATGCTGGGAGTAACCTGATCTTCCTTTTCAGAAAGCTGCAAAAGCCCAATGAAGCTGAAACCAAAGCTTGAAATCCCAGACTGCACCCAGAAAGGGGAGCCTCTGCCAAGGCAGGGCAGTCATCCTGCACAGCAAGCAAAGGCGAGTCGTGCTAAGGAAACAGTTTGCACGTAGCCATCGTCCAAAACGAGGGCTCCTTGCACAAAGCACCCTCTTATCATGATGTCCCACATGACAACCACGTCGATGCCGCTGGGGCAAGGCTTCGGTGCTTCAGAAAACGGTTTCGGACATGACGGAAGGAACATCAACAACAAAAAACAACTATTTCGATGCCTTCTGCGCAAACAGACGGAGGACGGACTCATAAAGCACTGTCTGGGGGCGCTGCATTTGTGGCAGTACAAGGCATTCACGGTTCAAGTTGACATTAAAAACACCGGACGTTCTAACTTGCAAATCTCCTATGTTAGGCTTCGGCTCAAGTTTGGAGTCTTGGATTCCTTCGGCCGCTCAGGCATCCTGAAGTAATAGTCCCCGATGCTTTCGTTTAATGGGCTACCAGAGGGCCTGAACAAAGACATATAATATATAATAGGTACTATATAACATAGGATATGTATAATACGAAATATAAAATGTACAACATAGGAAACATAATATTATATATATATAGATATATTGAACAGCTCCCTCACTGATTGATGATGACGCCGGTGATGATCTCCAAAGTAAGGAAGCAGAGAGCACCCTAAAGCTCTGCTTACTTCTGTCCATTTGGGAGTTTCCGGTACTATATTAGGGCCCCCTATTTTCGGAAACTCCCATTTAGTCCTCACAGGAACAAAAGTAGACTCCGGCCTACGAAGCTATTCTTGACAACCCCCAAAAAATTACTTTCGAAAACACAAGACTGCAAGTGACAACCAAAACTTGTTTCCCTCGGCCCTGAACCCAGAAACCCGAATCCTTAAAGCTTACCCTCCTTTCGACAAAGCCAGAGTGCCTGCACCACAGCGCGCAAAGCCTGCGCTTTCATCTTCTCCACCTCTCAAAAGCGACAGGGATGAGGGGATCCGGGCTTGATGCTTTCAGGGTTTGTGGAGGGTCTCGGGTTTGCGGTTTCGGGCTTGAGGGCTACTTCGGCTATAAGAATTATACACTGATGTGCCCCTAAAGTCTTTCCACGCTCTCTTGAGGCCCTTAAGCCGTAGGCGAACCTCATCGTCGGCGAGTTCAGGCTTCTGGTCGTCCTCCTGGCCGGGACAAGGGGTAATGTAGGGGCCTTCAGTGGTTAGAGTCTAGCGTATGTTCCCTTAACTTAAAGCTTCTGTGAGAAGGATCTCTCCTCGTAAGTAAATTCACTGTAGTAACGTTGCACACTATCAAAACGGGCAGTTTAAGCAACTAGTCGCATGCAGGTCAGCTCCTTGGCATGCAGAGACTGCTGAACAAATGGCTTGCAAACACATCGGACTAGCGAGACCAGCTCAAAGACAGGAGCCCATGATACCAGTACCAGGTAAGCCCGAAACCCTTAAAGCATCACTTCTCGTAACTCCTAAAGGAACCATTATGGAAACGCTTGAATATGGGTAGCCACTCCTCTTCAGCCCTTTAGAAGAGCCCAAAGCAGGTCTTTGCAGGCTGAACTTCTTGAAAGGTTTCTGTGTTGAGGTGGTTCTGCAAACTCTGGGCCTTGAACTGCCCTTGCAGGATGTATAGGGGCCTCCATAGTTGCAACAGGGTTGTGGGGCATATCACAGCAAGAGTATCATATGGTACCCATTAAGGATTCCATGTTGCAGTTTGGAGTTGGAGGTAGTAAACCCTAACCCTACACCCCAAATCCCGCAAGTCTCAAGTCTGCAACCTGAACCCCCAATCCCAACACTAAATTTCACACATCGAAACCCTGAACACTTGAACGCCCCGGAACTTGCTGCCAGCCTCATCATCCACGACGAAGTCGGCGGCCTGCTGAATTGCAGAAGCTGCCGTGGGTTGCCAAGCCACATGGGGGTTTCCGAAAATAGGGGACCCTAATATACTAAAATAGTACCCTAAATAGTAGGATCTTTATTATCAGGACCCTATAATATGGCACCTACCTTAATTTAATCCTACTGTTTAGGGTATTATATTAGGGTCCCCTATGTTCGGAAACTCTCACATTGTAAGGGCCCCAAATCACAAAGAAGAATCGAATCAGTCTCTGGACCCCTCTCGGCAGGCTCTCTCCGCTTCTCAACAAATATTTCACCCCCTCCCCTCCCACAATCCTCAAAAAGCCACACACACAATTGACTGGACAAATGGGCGGCGGCCTTAACAAAAACCGCTGGTGGCGATCGCGCGCCCTGGTGGAGAAGGCAATCGGGGCCGCCAGTGAGAAGTTTGGTGATTGACTTCGGGGTGCGGTCCTTGAGTATTGGAGGAGTCGGGCGTGCTGTTTGGGCTTTCTTGTCGCTAAATCAAGCCGCTACTGAAGGCGATCAAGGCCCCAGCAATACAGAATATGACCCAGCTGAGATCCTCAGCTCTATGTTTCGGTCTTGGGTCTAGCAGCCGTTAGGCTAAGAGGCCCGAACACTCGGCAAGCCCTTCAGGGTTTAGGGGCTTAGGGTTGCAAGCCACTGCGAAGAACGTAGCTCCACAACAAGTTCCTGCAACCCCAAACCCTAAACGCGTGTATTCTTGAAAATCCGACAACTCATAGCTTGCAGACTAGCATGGTCTAGGATACCAGGCCCCAACTAAGGTGCTTCCAGAACCCAGCAAGCTCTAAGTACATCCTGAAGAAAGCAGACCTTGGCCCCACAGTCTTGTAATCGGAACCCTAATAAGTCTGAACAGTTTCTCCAGCGTTCCGCACCGACGCAACGCCAATCTAGCGGTCTTTAGCATTTTGGGGAGGGCTCCTGGGGTCTGTAATACGATACAGTTGATGATATAGACCCTGCATTACCTTAAGGACCCTAAACTATGGGAATTCTGGTATATTCCTCATTATGGGTAATGCAGGATTTATATCATCAACCGTACTATATCTAGAGTAGGGGCTATCAGGGCATACCCGTGCTGACTACTCAGACCCCTACATTACCTATCCTGTTGGGGTTCCTCCAAGCGCAAGAAGTTACCAAAATTGTCAGCCGCGGGACCTCCCCGGCGGCGCTGCGGGACTCTGAACCCAGCGAAGGGCGGCCAGATACCTCGAAAGCTTGGGTTTAGAGGGGGTAAGGTCCTTAGGTTTAACACGGTTTAGGGACAAACAGAAAGCCGCCACATCTACAGGGTTCTTAGTGAAGAGCAAATTGCTGTCTTTGTAGCCCAATACGGAAGGCTAGGATTACGGGCTATATTGTAGTATAGGACTAGACCTCCAGCTTATCCTGCTGCTATCCAGGAACCTTCTCAAAGTGATGAAAGCAAGAAGCGTTGCCGCCAACAGAGTTCGGATGTGCTAGGCGTCGACCGGTTTCGTAGCTTGTTAATCTTGTTCTTGATCTCGTGGTTGCCGTACCCTGGGGGGTTTTCGGGTTTAGGGCTTAGGGATCGTTTCAAGGCAAAGATGTAAAAACTACCCTAGATGCCAAGCCTGTTTTCAACTGCTCAAGACTTCCTCTATTTGGAGTCGATCCTGGATTTGGACTCTCCACTCAGAGGCCACAAGCTCTAGATTGCTATTTGGAGTTGGGGGTCCGTGGGAGTTTAGGATCATTTGTGTCTTCGATTGTGGTGTCACTTGCATGTTTTTTTGGTTCTAGGGTTAGGATGGGTTCAGGGTGTGGTGTGCAGTGGTGGGAAGCCCAACCCTAAAACCTAAACCCCAAACCCCTAAATTCTAAACCCTAAACCCCCAAAGCCTTGGCCTTACTGGGGCTCCCTGCTGCGAAAACGCCAGAGGACATCGCCATGGGCTTTTCTGGGGAGTCCTCGTCTCGGCTTGGTGCGCCCTACATTAGATGAGGGTCTTAAGAAGGCTTTCAGGGGTTACGGGCCTTAAGAGGGGTGTCAGGGTATATAAAGTATAAGTATAAGGAGGGACTCTAAGGCATCATGTAGGCAATTCTTCGGGCTTCTCTTTTAAGGTTTTGAGGGCAGGGAGTCCTGCTCCTCCGCTCTGGTTCGATTTAAGGGTCCATCATGTAAAATCTTAGGGTGGGGAACACTTCCGTGATGCAGCATTTAAACTCAGGTTTTTTTTGAAGTTGATGTGCACCCTTTCTCCAAGAGGCGCTGGCAAACTCAGGTTTAGGGGCTTAGGGTTTCGGGTTTGGGGCTCGGCTTTAGGGTCAGAGCTGGAGGTTGGTGGTGAGGAGGTACTGGCATGAGCAGTCCGGCTAGGCTCGGCTCCTCTGATCGGCTTGAGTCTTCAATACTCTTACCTTTGGAGTGGAAGAATGGTAGTAATAGTAGTTATATAATTGTACCCCATTCCTCCATTCCCTACTAACCAAAGGTAAGTACTTTGGTGTCAGACTCTGTCAGACTGTCCATTCTCGCTTCGGCAGAATTGGAGGCTTCCAGTGTACGATGACCACGCCAACACGCAGCACTAAGCCAAGAAAACAAGACGGAAGACCACCCATCATGAGGACTCCTGTCAGTCAAAAGATGCATCAAAGGCGACGCCAAACTGATTCTAACAGCTGGCTTTTGCCACCGCAAGCACGAAGCTTCAAAGGCTTCTGCGCAACCCTGAACTTCACATTTTACCGTTATCATCACTGGCTAGCACGTAAACCCCACGCCTGGTCATCATGCCTCTCCTCAGACGCACCGTCAAGCCGGCCAGCCCGACAGTGCAACAGATATAGGGCACCGAATAATTCGCAGAGCATCCCAGTACAATGATCTCTGTGATATCTCCAAACCCATATTCTGATAGACTAGGCTTGCTACTGGTAACCAGCGCGCCTGTGGCGTCACTTGTCGTGCGAAGGGCTGCGCTGCCGGAAGGAGCGCAGGCTTCTGGCAGGAAGGTAAGCGACAACGTGCGGCAAGAGAGGTGATGATGATGATTCAGTGATGATGATGATGACGAGGATGATCATGATGTGAGTCGTAGCGATACGGCTAAAAATGATGCTTCTGGCGGTGGTAGTGATGTCGGTGTCTCGACCGAAACTCCGAAGGCCTCAGTTCTGAGCCTGATCCTCAAACCGTACCCCGGATCCTCAACCCCTGCCAACCCCTAGCCCTCCTAAATCGGAATCCCCAGCCCTCCTAAATCGGAATCCCCAGCCCTCCTAAATCGGAATCCCCAGCCCTCCTGAATCGTAATCCCCCCTTTTAGTTCAAAGACTGAACCAGAGAAGCCCTTCAAGAGGCCACCCAGCCTTAGTTCGCTCAGCCAACTCCTCCAAGATTGGCAGAGGTGGTCGACTTGGGGTTTAGGGTTGGGGGTGTTTAGGGTTGGGCTTAGGTTGAGGGTGTTTAGGATTTAGGGCGTAGGGCTTACGGCTCTGGCTTTCGCAGAACACTCGGAAGATAGGAGGGCAGTCTTAGGCTCCGTGCACCACGCATGATGATATAAATCCTGCATGACCTTAATGACCCTAGACTATGGGAATTATGGCATATTCCGTACTACGGGTACTGCAGGCTTTATATCATCAGCCGTAGAGTAGGGTTCTAGGGGTTTTGCATGCCTTTGTTACAAGTACGTGGGGACTGAAAGGGATATGGTTTCTCAGTATTCAGATACCTCCTAGGGAACGATTGGTGGCTAGGCCCGAGGTCTTAGACTTTTGGGGTGAGGTGAAGGTTCTAGGTTCTGCCGTCGTGATGAAACTGATAACCCTGGACCTTAAACCGTAAAGCCCCAAGGCCCTCAAACCAAGCGACCATCAGGGGGAGACAAAATCGGGAACATGACAGTATATAGTATGCAAACACAATAATCAAGTCACCATCAGAGAAGCAGTGGCAAACTGTAGTCCTGAACGCTAAACATATCGTCCAAAACCTTGACTCAAACGCCCCTACAGCAACCCTAAACCCAAACCCCTAAACCCTAAAACTTCACCCCAAACCCTAAACCCTGACCACTGAACCCCTAAACCAGGTTGGCCCCTTAAAGCCTCTGAAAACTATTCGTAAAGAGGGTCCTACTAAGCCCAATAAGGGAAAATAGAAAATGTCCCAAAGGCCTACAGAGTAAACCCCCCTAAAAGCCCCCATGATCCCCTAAACCCTAAACCTAAACCCTAAACCCCTAAACCCTTAACCCTAAACCCCTAAACCCCAAACCCCCCTAAACCCCCCTAAAACCCCCCTCAAACCCCCATGATCCCCTAAACCCTAAACCCTAACCCCTAAACCCCCCTAAACCCCCCCAAAACACCCCCTGATCTCCTTCTGCACAAGCTCAGACCGGAGATCCGCCGCGCAGCGAACCAAAGTCCGGCCCGCATAGTCCCGCCAATCCTACGGGTTTCTTTCTTTAGGATTTAGGATTTAGGGTTTAGGGGTTTAGAATCTGGGGTTTAGAGTTTAGGTATTGTTTTTGGCTTAGGGTTTAGGGGGTTTTGGCTCTAGGTTTTAGGATTTAGTGTTTGTTTTTTTGTTGGTTTAGGGTTTGGGGCCCTGCATTTTATACAAGGGCTTACTTGCAAGCTTAGGATCTAGGCTTTGAGCTTGAGGAGCAGCCTTTTATGTTGGGTTCAGGCTTTTGAATTTTTGGAAGTCAGGCCATGCAGTTGGAGGGTTTACTTGCTCTTCCCAAACAGGCCCTGAGGTTTAGGGGTTTAGGTTTTCATGAGTCGCTGCTTAGGAGCTTAAATTTGAAGTTGAGGGTTTCGGTTGTTTGGTTTTGGACCTGACCATGAGGTGCAATTAGGACAAACCTAGGCCAAAAGTCCCCTACCTGCTTTTAGTGAGAGGATTTGGAGTTGGGATGGACGAGGTCTGCGGACTCAGGGTCTAGGTGCTTTAAGCTGATGGAGTAGAAAGTCCAACACATATGAGATCTCTCGGGATGTTATGTTAAGGCTAAGGAGTTTAGCAAATTTGAATTCACGGTTTATCGGGTTTACCATGCTTTAGGTGTAAAGGGCGTAAGAAGGACCCCCTATTCGTCTGGGATCGTTCCTGGGCTTCGTGGTTTGGTCGTACTTAGCCACCATATTTAGGAGAATCTGGGTTCATCATGACAATACTGGGCAGCAGCAAGAATCTTCAGACCCCCCTGCATAGGATGTCCTGCCAGTGGACATCCTCCTCCAGGGAATCCAACAGAGCAGCCAGCCCCTCGACGTCGTTTTTCTTGACCTGGGTGATTTAAGGTTTCGGGGTTTAGGGTTTTGGGGGGTCTAGAGTCTAGGGTTTAGGTTTCGGGTTTGGGGTTTGGGGGTTTGGGGTTTAGGGATTTAGGGTTTAGGGGTTTCGGGTTTACGGGTTTCGAGGTTGAGGATTTATGGTTTACTTGGAGGATCATGGGACTTAGTAAGTATGGCTAAGAGTACCTTAACTGGGGTTATAAGTATAGTTACCTTAGTAAGGACCCTAGTTACTCAGTCCCATGATCCTTTAAGTACTGTTGATTATATAAATCCTGCATTACCCCTAATAAGGAATATACCATAACTTCCATAGTTTAGGGTCCTTAAAGTAATGCAGGATTTATGTCATCAACCGTACTTGGAGGGGCAGGGGACTTAGAACGTAGGTTATAAGTAGAGTTATAAGTACCCTAAATGGACTTACCCAAATTATAACCCTACTTTTAACCTACTTACTAAGTCCCCTGCCCCTCCACTTAGGGTTTAGGGTTTAGGGGGCTTATAGACCCCTTTAAAGGGACCCTAGTTACTAAGTCCCATGATCCTTTAAGTAGGGGTTTGGGGTTTCAAGGCTCCACAGGTTCAGGGACTTCAGGACTCGAGACCTCCCGGGCCCAAGAAACCCAGCGAGGGCCTCAGCGTTAAAGGAACCCCTATAGATACCTTAAAGGACCCTTAAAGGAATCCTTATAGATCCCTTAAAGGAACCCTGGATTCGGGGATCGATCTTTTCAGCTTGCCTTACTTGTTCTGTCAGAGGGGTTTCTGAGATTCTGGGCTTATATAGTTTGCCTTCAGGGTTTAGGGTTTACATATTCGCGCTTATGAGGATGAATTAAGGTTTCGGGTTAAGCTGCCCTGCAAGCTTACCTGCCCTAAAGCCCCAAAATCTGACATTGACGTCGCCCCCGGTCCTCCAAAGGGTCCTCCTGGTTACCCCTTATTCGGTCTTGCAGACCCTGAACCCTAAGAACCGAAACCCGAAACCAAAAAACACCCAACCCTGAACCCCAATTACCTAAAGGTTCATGGGATGTAGTCGCCACGGCCATTCTCAAGGTAAGTGTGCCTTTCACAAGTTATAATCCCACTTAAGACACGTTTCACTGTACTTACTACTGTAAGTCTCATGATGCTCCAACGGTTGATGGTATAAATCCTGCATTACCCATAATAAGGAATATATGGGAATTATGGTATATTCCTTATTATTATGGGTCATGCAGGATTTATATCATCAACAGAAGTAGGTCCCTGACGAACTGGAAGGCATCCTTCTTCTGCTGCTGGTGCTTTACACGCTCGGCCTTGGCGGCTTTCTCCTGGGATGCTTCAGCTAGGATACCCAGTATCCTAAGAATAAAAAGGCCTCTCTTTTTGGTATTGGGTAACTTTATAAGGAACCTAGGACTACAAAAAGGGAATAAGGGTACTACTGGGCATCCTAGTCAGGCTTTCCGGCTTGGGCAGGTGGGGGTGAAGGCTTTAGGGCCTTAGTAAGGGCGCTTGAAGGGCTGCTTAGAGGGATTTACAGGGTTCGTTAAAGGGATCTAGGGGGTTGAGGGTTTAGGGTCTACATGGAGGGTCAGGGGACTTAGTAAGTAGGTTATAAGTAGAGATATAAGTACCCTAAATGGAGTTTCCCCAAATATAACCCTACACAATAACCTACCTACTAAGTCCCCTGCCCCTCCAAGTTGGGTTTAGGGTTTTGGGGGCTTTAAGTCCCAACCCTTAAACCCTGGTTTGAGGTTCGATTTTGTTTTCAGGGCCTCAGGGCAAGAGGCGGGCATGCTCTTATGATAGCGTTCCTGATTAGAATTAGAAATACGTTGTTATCAGAATTAGTAGCCTTATTGCTATTAAGATTCATTGTTGTTACTTTTTTATGCTGGCGAAGGAACATGTCATACTCGGGCCTAGAAATTCTCGGTTCGAAACGAGACTGGGAGAAATGAGCCTCCGGCACCAGACTTTCCCAGAGGGACCCTGAGTAGGTATTTATGCCGAGAATACGCCCAGAGCCCCTCTTCGTTTTGGGGTTTAAGTAGTTTTCAGGCCCCGATATTACACTTTGCAAGTCTTTACATCCTGCAACCCTTCCTCTCGGCAACAACTTGTCCAAAACCATGAAGTCTCAACAGAGTCCAAAACTCAACACATGAAACCCCAAAACTGAAAGTCCGGGAAACCCCGAGTTATCAACACAGCCCTGATGGCACCCATCTTCTCTATACCCCTTTAGAACCATACTTAAAATACCATGACTACTATTCTCTTGGGTTTTATATGAACATAAATGAAAAATAAGCCCTAAGGAGACTGCAGTCCTCAGGAGTCATCATCTGCAGCTCCAGCAACTTGTTCTGGGCTTTGAGGATGTCCTGCACAGAGACCCACAGGCTCCATGCACCCTTATAGTGGATACTTAAGCCTTAAAGGGGTCCCTATAATAGGCACTTTGAGGCCTAAGTATATACTATATGGGTACATGGAGCCTTAGGGAGAGGAATGTGGTCTCGGAAAACGCAGGATCACTTTCAACAAGACAGCTGGCATCTCTTATTTTCTGAAACTTCCGTGTGTGATGACCATGCAGGAATGACATTCCGAGATTTGGGCTGGCCGGCTGACCTACGTCCTTCTAGCCCACCTTGCGATGAATACAAGAGCGATACTTGCGCTGTATGGATGATAAGGGAAATAACCTGCAAGGAGATCCCGGCCTTTCTGCTTTGCGTAGATCAAAGCTTGGTTCAGGAATCGGTTACTGTAGGGGTCAAATGATTATCTATACTGTTTCGTGGTTCCTTCTTACATTTACAGTATAATGGGCCCCAAAGCCCATTTCTAATGTTCAGGCCCCTGTACTACTTCTGCGGGCTTTGCCTGTGCAGGGGCATGTCGTCGGGTGATATGCCGAATTCCGGCACCTTTCTCGGCTGAGAAGATTGAGGGTCTTGGTACTCGATGGGGGCCGGATAATGTAGGGGCCTTAATAATTAGAATAGGGTTTTGGGGGTTCCTTATGATAACTATAGTATAATATACTTCCCCATACCCTGAAATCCTAAACACAGTTTCATGCGTCCTCGTCGTCCACATCAGCAGAGACGGCTACCTCGATCGCTTGCTCCAGCTGCTCCTCGTCAGCCTCAGCCAGCGACGGGCACAAGTAATGTACCAGGACCCCCCCGACGGCCCTTTAATAACGGCTTTATGGTCCTGAACAGTGGGTATTTGGGGTCTATTAGGGGTCTAGGTAGGGCCTTAATAATTGGAATAGGGTTTTGGTGATGTTGGGCTCCTTTGTCGTGTATTTCTAATGAGGAACCCCAAAGAATAGTGTTAGTTGCCATTTCGGCTTCTATTACGGCTTTATTAGATTATATGTCCCGAATGTTCCATCTTGTGCGTCTAGCAATGCACCCACAAAACACCCACAGTCACATCCCTATTACTGTAATTCGAAGGACTCATGCCGACCATGGCTTCAGAAGAGGTAATTACGTTATTGCCATTGCATGCCCAGAGAACTGTCAAGGAAAACCATGTTCTATTGCTGCCTTCTGAAAACTAGGGGCAAGGCTTGCCACCTATCCGCATAACACACTTCCTGCTACTTAGAGGCTGCCAGAAATGGAGCAACCCTAGCGTGCGACGCTCGAACATGCAAACCTTGCGAACACGAACGTAGAATCCTCGATCTCATCGCCCGCGTCGCCGCAACACACCGTTGGCATGGCTTCGCGTTGTGTAGCCGAAGTGTTAACATGATGCGAATAAATCATGCGAGGAGGTGGAGATAATCCGAATTCTTTGCCTGGTTGGAAACATACACCCCTCAATTGCGGACTGTCTACAAAACAATCCCACGCTCTTCAGAGCGGCAGTCAGGATACCCTAGTCCCGTCCATCGTCTGAACTTGCCCCGCAGCAGTCCATGTCAAAGCCTTGCTGAATCGTTACAACAAGACTCCGAGGTCTTGAATCCTACTTGGAGGATCATAAAGCTTAGCAAGTAACTATGGCTATAAGTACCTTAGTTGAATAGTTACTACTTCGCATGACCCTCTAAGTAGCCCCACAAAGCCACAACTTGAACCCCAGATCCGAGATAGCCTTCCCAAACTAGGATACCCAGTAACCTAAGAACAAAAAGGCATCTCTTTTTGGTATTGGGTAACTTTATAAGGAACCTAGGACTACAAAAAGGAATAAGGGTACTACTGGGGATCCTAGCCGAGATAGCCTTCTCAAAGCCTCGGCCTCGGTGCCCAGCCTTGTCCATGGCTGTGTGGAGATGTTCGTAAGCTGCGCGCCTGGTGAGACCCAAGCTCCAGCTTCTGAAGAAAGATATGAAGAGCTTAAACTCCAAGGGTAAAGGAGGGACCCTTAATAAGGACCCCTATGTATATACCTTAAATATAGCTAGTATATACCCATTATATTGCCCATTATAGGGTAGGGGTCCCCATTAAGGGTCCCTCCTTTTACCCTTGGATAAACGTATCCTATCTGTCTGTGTCTGGGACACGGGTGTGCGGTCTACTTGGAGGTTCATGGGTAGCTACAAGTGGGGGTTATGAATCCCCTCGCAGAGGCCATATCAATAATTATCCTGCTTCTAAACCCTTCTTATTATAAGCACCCATGAACCTCCAAGGTAGGGCTCAGAGGACTATGCAGTGGTTAGAGTTCTACAAGCAGGATCTTATAATATAAGCCCTGCTTGTAACTACCCATTAACCTTCACATTAAGCTCGTTGAACGCCTAAAGCCTTCTCGAATCTTGAAGCCCTCAGCCGTTCACGCTGGGCCGGGCGCCCTATCTTGTTATAAGGCATTGCAGACCTTCTCCATCGCAAACTGTGACATCGTAGCGGATTGAACAGGTGAAGCTCAAGATGTACTGGAAGATCAAGGCCCGTGTAACAAGGGTGGGACCCTCCACCCCGTGCACTGAATCTTGTCCACCCTATAATAAACCCTAAACCCCTAAACCCTCAACCCTTCGCACTGAACGTTCTCCAAACCGTGTAGCTCTTCCGCGCCTCTCTCGTAGCTGCTTCCGATCCATTTCCCGGCGGGCTTCCTCAACCACTGCCTGTCGGGGGTTGCGGCTTAAGGTTCAAGGTTTAGGGTTAGGGTTGCGGGCTTAGGGTTAGGATTCAGGGTTTAGGGTTTGTTCAGGATGCTTCCATGGTGGGTTGCCTTAATTCATGGAATTTGAGGTGTTACAAAGAATCCAAGAAAGGGGAGCACACTAAAGGGCCTTAATAAGAATTAGAATAGGCTTTGGGTGCCCATTATTCTATACTTAGAATAGGGACCTCCCCCCCAAACAAAAAGTATTGGTAATTATTGCGGCCCCCTAGAGCAATGTAACCCAACTGTGACAGCTCACGGGTAGACCCTGGCATAGCGTACATAAGGATGCTCAGGAAGACTTCTGGTGCAGCTTTTGCGGAGTTGATGACTGGCCAAGTATGACGACCTATGTCTGTCGATCTATCTAGTTATCTACCTATTTGTATATGCATATACTTGTACCTGCTATATATACCTGTTATACATACATACACACAGATAGGTAGGTAGCTAGCTCAGTAGCTAGATAACTAGATAGATAGATCATTCGATAGATGGATAGATAGATAGATAGAGATACGACACAGAGATGCAGATACAGATGTTGATACAGGTATAGAGTATAGATATAAATAACAGACACAGTCCTCACCTGTACTTGCCAAGAACTCGGAATGATCTTGTCAAGTGCTGCAGTGACCTCATAGAGCCCCGCGGACAGTCCTGCTTCTGCGCAAGCCCGACTTTGTATAAACAACTGCAGGCTATGGCTTCATCAAAACTTGCAGAGCCCACACCAGATGGGGATAGGTTTTCGGACTTTGGACGAACCCACGGCCTCCACCGAAGCGATTGCCGATTTTAACTCGGAAATGGTGGCGCTTTGGCTCGTCATGACCTCACTTCCGGTACATGGGGTGTGGATGATGTGGGCCATTCAGGGTTCGGGGCCTGGGGCCGAAGGGTTCGGGGCCTGGGGCCGAAGGGTTCGGGGCCTGGGGCCGAAGGGTTCGGGGCCTGGGGCCGAATCCCTAAAGCCAAAGGCTCTTGGGCTTGGAAGTTCTGAGATGTTCTGAACCTCATGGTCCCGAGTTTCTGAACACAAAGCCAGCAGCAAGCCGAAAACTCCTACAACAAAGCCTCCCTCTTTGATTCTCCACGCTACTTCATGAGCACTGGGAATCGCCGCCATGAAGCAGATGCAATCCCCGCAGTCTCATGACGCCTTATACTGCCTTAGGAAATGTCCCAATCCCAATCACGAAACGCAAGCAAGCTTCCTGTAAGGACATCGACACTTGCTTGCCCAACCCAAACAAACTCGACAGGCCTCCATCAACAGAGCGCATCCCGAAAACGACCGAATGCCCACATTGCACATGCCGCAATACCTGAACTCACAAAAAAATCGTGAATCTCATATCCCCCTGCAAAGCCTCACACGTGAAAACGCGGAAACCGAATCTCAAAAACGAAACCAGGCCCATAACCTTCATTGCAAAAGAGTCGTTCGAGAGGTATATTCATCAAACCGCAAAGCCGTTAAGCTGAACCCCAGACTTTTCAAATCCATACCCTAAGGGCGCATGTACCCAAATATATACTTTTGCACAAGTGCCTCTATAGGGGCTACTGTAAGGCCTACATGTCTATTTCCACCGAAACCCGCATGCACGGATCCGAAATGACACCCAACTAGAACTCCGAGCCCCCTGCTGAAACAACACGAAACAGCACGGAAAAAACACTTGCCCCAAACCCTAAACTGCCCTGAACCTGAAGCTCCGAAAACCCTAAGCTCCCAAAACCCTGACTCCCAAACCCTAAACCTGAACCCTAAACTCGGAAGAACCTGAGCCCTAAACCCCATAGGCTCTAAACCCTACTTAAAGGGTCATGGGACTTAGTAACTAAGGTTATTATTAAGGTAACTATACTTATAATTACTTATAACCCCGATTAAGGTACTTTTAACCATATACTTACTAAGTCCCATGATCCTCAAAGTACACTCTCAAACTCCGACACCATGGAGCCGCCCTCTGGGCCACCCCGCCGAGCGCAGCCGCCCCTCCGAGCCGCCCCCCCCAGAGCTCGTAGGTGAGGCCTAGCTCGAGGGTTTGGGGTTTGGGGCTTTCGTTAAAAGTTTTAGGGCTCAGGGTTGAGAGCCGTATGGGGGTTAGGGTTTAGGAGTTTAAGGGTTCAGGGTTCAGGGCCGTGTAGGGTTTAGGGTTTGGGGCATGCGCTTCTTCGAGGATTTTTTTTGTAAGTCTATCTATTTTGTAGTTACTATAAGGAGTACAATAAGGGCCACTGTAAGGGCTTAGGGTTTGGGGTTTCTAGGAACGGGATTCTGTGAAACTTGTGAACTTATTTTGCACGATTGTATGGAATTTATCGGGTTTGGGGCAAAGATTTTGCACATCTATTTCATAGGATTGCGTGGGATGTAGGGTTTGAATTACGGGTTATCAAAAAGGTACTATCAGGGTTACTATAGAAGTTTAGGGTTTCGGGCTTGATTTGCTAGAGTTTTGCCGGTGTGTTCAAAGGTTGGATTGTGTAGGCACGAATCTATAGGAGTTTCGTCGACTTCTGCAAAATGCTAGAAGCTTTTGCAGGCTTTCAGGTGCTTTCACCTGGGGAGTTATGGCGAATTCGTGCTGTTCCTGTTTAAGTTTTTCTATGCAGTCATTTCTGCTGCAGTTTTTACCACATATGCCCGAAACCCAAGACGAGCGGTGGACCTCCCAAGCCAGGGATCCCAATATAAGGGCCTCAATAATTAGAATAAGGTTTTGGGGTACATTTATGCTATAACCATATTAAGGAACTCCCACAATAAAAGGGTTTTGGGGTACATTATGCTACAACCCTACTAGGAAACTCCCACAATAGTACTGCTAATTATAGAGGCCCCCTATATTAGCGGCACCAGCACAATGCTGCAATGACAGAACCCACATCAGCACTCTGAAACCAGAAAGCTAGTCATCTCTACAAATACATGATTGAGGAACACCAAAATAGTGTTGGTGAGTTGCACAGGCCCCTATAGTACATCTGTGCCTGCGCTGTCTCCCATAGACGGTCGCGCTCCGCCTGCACCTCCAGCTCTAAGCATGGATATCAGTATCAACACGTCTGCTGAAAATCCTAGTAACTGTAATAAGAATAGGCGTAATGATGAGGATGATAAGAACAAGACTGACGAATGCCTTTGCTACTCTTTCTGCACCAGTGGTCGTACTGGTATCTGTGCCTTTTGGATCTTGGATGCTCTTGGCATGGAAAATTTTAACCGGGTTTCATGCGTCCCCCCTAATCGTGTTGCAATCTGAGCACGTCTTTCAATTGCTTTGAGGGGCTTGAAGATATGGGGTTTGGGGTTTACTTGGAGGATCATGGGACTTAGTAAGTATGGTTACAAGTGCCTTAACTGGGGTTATAAGTAGTTATAAGTATAGTTGCCCAAACAATAACCCTAGTTACTAAGTCCCATGATCCTTTAAGTAGGAAAGATAGTCTAGTATCGTAAGGGAACTCGCCAAAAAACAGCTAAGTCATTCGAAGCATGCTCCAAAAGGTAAGAGTGTCAACTTGTTGCTGTTATCCGTTTCCAATTTTTCTTCATGCTTCAGGCCTTTTGGCC